TTGAACTACATATTCACCAACAAAATACTATTCTATGCATTTTGACCAAAAAAAAACTCAAACAAGGGCTTAATTGTATCTATCATCTAACATCGATCATTTAGTATTATATAGATTGGTGTTATAATATCAATGATACAAAATAATATTATCCTTATTAATAAATAGTACTACCTCCGTCCCATAAAAATATGTTTGATTTTCATTTTCCGTTTGTCCCAAGTTATAGGTCACTGTCCTTATTGAAAGTATAAATATTTTTTAATTTTTTAATATGCCTCTATTTAATGTATATTGATATCAACAAATATAAACAAATTATATTTAAATCATTATTAAATATAAGGGTATATTAGGAAAAATGTAATAAAAAATTATATTTTCAATAATATTAATTACATTTTCTTAATTTGTGTGAAGGTAGAAACTAGATTATCTTCGGAGATAGTAATCTTTACTCCTTCAATGCATTTGATAAATGGTCAATCACACCTTACTGTTCATGTTGATGAGCTGGAATAGTCGTAAACATAAATTTTATGAATCAATTACAAATGCCAGTGTTTATTTTTTGAATTTTTTTATTTTTTTATTTTTTTGAAAATTCTAGAAAACGTTTTGAAAACTTCAAAAAGGTTTTCTAATTTTTTTTAATTTCTTAATTAAATTCGAAAATTTCAATGATGAACTTCAGGGAAGCTCTAGAGAACATTTTGACCGAAATATTTCAAAACTTGAATTAAGAATTGAACATTATTATGGATTTTTTTGTGGGTTTAAACTAAAAGTTAACTTAGTTTGGGGCTTCAACTAAAAATAAATATAATTTATGACTAATTCTTATACAGCAAAAAAAGTAAAGTGTATTATATTTGTAGAGGCAGCGATGAGGGTGTTGGAAAATGAATGAATGAAAATCAGTTTCATAACAGTTTCAACCTCAGCCGTTCCTCTGTCATTCATCTTCAGTTTCAGAAATTGAAGGAAAAGCAATTTCATCCATCAGTTTTATCTTTAATGCTATAACTCCTATATTCAATGTATTAATGAGCATGCTCATGTTCTATGTGTATAAATAGATAATGTATCTCGATTGAAAAAACAAGTGAAATACAACAAGAGAAATACAAGTTTACAAGCTTCCAGCAACAAGTTTTATTTCCAATTTATATTTTCCTTTTTTCTAAATTCTTTGAGAGATAGAGAAATACAATAGTTCGGATTGATTTTTATTTTGTTTATTGTAATTAAACTCAGTGATGTCTTTTAACATCTATTTGTTTAATTCCGACAGTATGAGCATCTAAACATTTTTATGTTAAAATGACGATGTAGCTTATGATTTTTAATATTTATTTAATTTCAAGTCTTCATGTCACTTTAATATGAGTTAATTATTTGTTATGTATTTTATGCGTCAATTGATTGATTTAGGAATGGTGTTAAGACCAAGAGGTCATATGATTTTAGCTCGTATAATAAATAACATAGAGATAATTATAAGCTATGCAATCTATATAAAATTTTTGTAGTTAAAGTGTTCATATGTGTGTGAGTTTACATAGAGATATAACGAATTCGGGTATATGAATAAGATTAATGTTACTCGAGAGAGTTCACTAGCTACAATAGAATAATTTTATTATTGGCGTATATGGAAAGAGACTGAATGAATTGAAATTACATGAATATTAAACAACATAAGTAAAAGAAAAAAATCATGCTCATAATTTTCACAATCGTGTTAAAGTAGATTACCCTAGTTATTTTAGTTTTAGTTCAGTTACAAAACACATTTTGAATTGATAATCGGTTACCACTTTAATTTAAATTGAAGTTAGGTTAGTATTTTAGTTTCTGTGTGATAATACTCGGATTTGATAAATTCATTTTACTACTTATCATGATCAGTACACTTGCTAAGTCTCACAAATAAGTTTTTGATCTCGAGTTCATAACAACATCTTTAATCATTTTCATGACATCGAGTACTTTCTCAAAGCATTCCATAAACTTCTTTTAACTGCATTTGATGACAACGTCAAAGATCCGAAAAAAGTTTAATTATAGTGCACTGTACGCTTAGCCCTTGTTTGATGGTTATTATACGACAAAAATAATATTTTTAATAATGACATTTAAGAGAATGTGTAGTTAAAAAGTAGAAAAAAATTTTAAATTTACGTGCTAAATATTTTATTGTGTAAATGTGTAATTAAAAATAAGTACATGAAAAAATAAATTTTTAAATAATGATCGTCAAACTGAGATTTAAGTTGATGTTTAACAAAAAAGAAACTAACAATGAAAATTACTGCACACATTTTGTCTACTTCAATTATTTTTTTAATTCCACTACTAGTGTGGGATCTCTCTAATGTTGGCAAAGGTGGGTCCAACATTTATTATTTCTTATTAATTATTGTTGTTTTGGATTTTTTTTTTTTTAATCTTCAAATACGCTTGGCTTGTGATTTTCTGACAATTTTATATGTTGATAACTAAAATTGACGTGACAAATTTAGAAGAGGACCGTTTGCCTTATTTATAGGCATTTCTAATAAGCAATTTGGCTGCTCAAAGTCATACCAGCTACCGTGCCGATCTTGAAGTGCGTGGGATCGCCCACATTTAAAGTTTCTAATTGGCTGCTAAGGTCATGCAAGCTGATTATCATACTCTTTAAGTCGTAGCTGTTACTTAAATCGTGATTACGGATTATCTAATTAATTATTGCTTATTCATTGGTGGGGGATGAGATGCTAATGTCATAGGTGTTCTTGTAGCTTTGGGAGTTTTCTTACATGTGATGATGACATCGTTTAGGAGACACATTCAAGATTGCAATAATAATATTTTTGGATGACTCGAATAATGGGCAAGCTAATTTAACGATTTCCTTGGTCCATTCTCTTTGAGATAGTTATCGTTTCTTAAATTATGGTGGTCCGAGATGATCGTGAGTTTTGAGCACCAGCATTATCTAAACATTTTATACTCCTATCAATAATTGATTGAATGGCCTTATAATTCCCTTTTTAAAATAAGTTGCAAACTTAGAGCATGTCTGGCAGCCATTATTATCAGATTTTAACTCAAAATGTTACAGTTGCAGTCAACTGGTTCGAATTGATCGATTCAGAGCGATCCTTATTGTCCCATGGAACTCTTCTAGTTAAAATTTAAATGCTTCTAAATTTTAGAACCAAAAACCAAATCATTCTAGGGCGTGTTCGGTAGAGATTAAAATTGAAAAACTAACCGTTATTGTTGACTTTTATTAGACGAGTGGGACTCAATAACGGTCATATTTTCAATTTTAATTGGATTTTAAGTTGTACCGAACAGACCCTTAATTGTTGGAATATGCCTAAAATAAAGAGCCAATTTTCATTGGTTGAACTTTGAAATATATTAGATAGAATTCATTCCACTTGACCTTTAGGAGGGGACCGTTTGCCTTATTTATAGGCATTTCTAATAAGCAATTTGGCTGCTCAAAGTCATACCAGCTACCGTGCCGATCTTGAAGTGCGTCGGATCGCCCAGATTTAAAGTTTCTAATTGGCTGCTAAGGTCGTGCAAGCTGATTATCATACTCTTTTAAGTTGTAGCTGTTACTTAAATCGTGATTACGGATTATCTAATTAATTATTGCTTTTTTTATTGGTGGGGGATGAGATGCTAATGTCATAGGTGTCCTTGTAGCTTTGGGAGTTTTCTTACATGTGATGATGACATCGTTTAGGAGACACATTCTAGATTGCAATAATGATATTTTTGGATGACTTGGATAATGGGCAAGTTGATTTAACGATTTCCTTGTTCCATTCTCTTTGAGATAGTTATCGTTTATTAAATTATGGTGGGTTCGAGATGATCGTGAGTTTTGAGCACCAGCATTATCTAAACATTTTATACTCCTATCAATAATTGATTGAATGGCCTTATAATTCCCTTTTTAAAATAAGTTGCAAACTTAGATCATGTCTGACAGCCATTATTATCAGATTTTAACTCAAAAAGTTACCGTTGCAGTCAACTGGTTCGAATTGATCGATTCAAAGCGATCCTTATTGTCCCATGGAACCATCGGCTCTAATAAGTCTAAATATCGTGTATATTTTCTTATTTTATTTTTATGTTGTATGTTTTAAACAATAAAACTCTTAATTATCGTGTTAGGAAATTTCAACAGAATCGATTTCATTTCACTTTCTTAAAAGCCTCATTAATAAACTAAAATAGTTTGAACTAATTGTGCGTTAGAATCTTGTCCATTACAGGTGAACTGTGTGCATGCCTGAATGCTCCCTACGTGTTTTATCTTTTGCTCGACTGAGTATCTTGATACCATTACTACTCCCCTTCAGCATCTGAGTATCTGGGGACAATTCTTTTCCAGAACCAGTGTTTTTTCCACAAGAATATCATCTCTTCGATGGGCACGCCCTTCGTCTCGGGAAGGAAGAGATAGACAAAGATTGTCATGATGGTAATCCAACCCGCAAAGAAGAGGAAAATCCCAAACTTGAATGCACATAAAAGGGCGAGGAAAGATTGCCCTATTATGAATGTGAAGAATAGATTTCCAAACTTGAATGCACATAAAAGGGTGAGGAAAGATTGCCCTATTATGAATGTGAAGAATAGATTTACCGCTACTGTAATGCTCTGTCCAGCAGATCGAGTTTCTAATGGGAATATCTCGCTGGGGACTGTCCAGCCCAGAGGTCCCCATGACCACCCGAAAGCTGCAACAAAGAGACAGATGGTAACCACAACTAATATAGAGAAGTTCTTTGAAAGTCCTCCGTCACTGCTGAATTTGAGCCCCAGTATGATTGCTACTATCACCTGCATCACACCATTAGCAATTTAGGTAATTGAGGCACTATTTAATAAGAATCATTCATGTTTCAGCTATTTATATATAATGCATCTGTACACAGATTATACTGCTTCAGCTTGAATAGTCAGAAATTTTAGTCTTTCTAGTTGTCGCTAGTTATATCAAATACTAGAATTCATGTGTAATTCTTAACTGACGGATTTATAGTAGATGCTCAAAGGCTCTTGTTTAAGAGTCTGGCAGTCTAGAATAGTAAGGAAAAAGTCATATAAATACAACACTATCATGCTATTTCAAGGATTTAGAGTTTCATTTTCCCTGGTGTGTGCATAGAAATGAACCATCAGTATTGTTTTTTAATGTTTAGGCAATTTGACTACGCCAGTGGTAGTTAAAGGGCTGTTTTGTGAAATACCCTCAGTTTCCATGACGTGTATCGCGACATTTTGTTGGTCAGAAGAAAAGATGGTTGTTCTCTTACCTGACACACAATCATTTGTATTCCTCCGCTAATCAGTAAAGCTCTGCGGCCCCATCTATCAACAGTTGCAATAGATATGAAAGTCGATGAAGCAAGTACTGCACCAGTCACAGCCGAAGAGTAGAGAGAAGCATTTCTGCCAAATCCCATACTCTGAAACAACACGGGGGCGTAGAAAAGAATGGAATTTATGCCTGTGAGTATCTGAAAAGTTGGCATGAAGATTGCCATGACCAACTGGGGCCTGTTCCTCTTCTCAAGGATGTTTCTGAAAGGATGCTTAATGGAGTTTGCAAGATCACTTGCATCAATTATGTCTTGCAATTCTGCGTGGATATCTGAGGTTCCCCTGATTTTCTCGAGAACTTTTTGTCCCTTTTCTTTTAGTCCCCTTTCAATTAAGCTGTTAGGGGTTTCAGGGAGAAATATTCCACCTATTGCCATCAAAATAGCTGGTGCTGCTGCAAGGCCTAGGGAAAGCCTCCACCCCCATGGCCGAAGCTTTTCAGTTCCATAATTTATCATGTTTGCTGTGAAGATCCCAAGTGTAGTTGCCAATTGAAACATCATATTAAGGCCTCCTCGAAGATGAGTTGGTGCCATTTCTGACAAATACAGTGGCACTGCCTTCAAGCACGAACAAGAAAGAGTGAGCAGGTAATTTGCAATATTTCCACTTCTACATTTTCTGACTTGGTAAGTTTTTATATTATGGAGTTATGCTACATTTTATGATCACGTGGCATTTGAGTTCTTCTATGCCAAGATAAGGCATTTTTTGATAACGTAGAAACCCGGGGTTCAATCAGTTCAATGGGGGAGATAGTTTACCTGGTTGCCAAATCCAATGCCAACACCAAGCATGATCCGACCTAAAATGAGCATCACCAGATTTGCCGCTGAAGCGTCTAAAGTTGCTCCTATAATAAAGCTTAATCCACCACAGATGATACTTCTTCGACGTCCATACTTCCTTGTGATAGGGGATGCTACCAGAGATGACACCAAGCCAGAAAGATATAGAGAAGAGGTAAATGCTGCAAGGCCTTGGTTGTTGTATTTGCAGTAGTTGTTTTCATGCGCATGCCTTTTTTGTCTGTAAACTACAGGGAAGAATTTTTCGAGAAATCCATCCATTGAGGTGACTCCTCCTGTTAAGAATAATTACAGAAGTATTCAGTTTCTCAGGCATTCACTGGCATATAAGTTATTGTTCCCATATCCCATTTTATATGAATTGTTTCTTCAATTATAAGCTTATATTTGACAGCCATTCAAACCCACAAGCTAAACAACCCGAAATTCACTGTCTGAAACTTGTATCTATACTTCCTCAGTTAAGATACAAATTACTCACCAAATTCACACACACACACACCCCAAATATTAAACATATTTCCTATCTAAATCCCTTCTTTAACTTTGGGGTCTGAGCCTGTTCGGTCACCATATCCTTTTAGGCCCCCAAATCAGGATTCAGGACCAACCGTGTTATTAGTTTTGCTGGAACACATAGTTGTCTCAAGATCTTGCTATCAAAATACATGAACATAAAGATACATATAATTGTGCTTCTTTCTTATAAGGGGCACTCTTTGTGGCAGGTAAGAAAGAATTTTAAATAGAGATTTCATTGATGGACTAATAATGTTTGTACCTGAAATCCCAATATCATAGCCGAAGAGTGATCCTCCTACAGCAGCAACTATACAGGCGATGATAACAAAACCAGTGACCCTTCCCATATACTGCTCTGCTTTCTCTTCTGCCACCCCACTTGGCCCAAAAGACCCTCCTGCCATGGCTATCTACCTTGCACCAAAAGCTTGGCTGAGGTATCTGAATTTCAATTCTTCACCAAGGAAGATAAGTTGTATCTACACTGAACAACTTCGAAACATCAACCAAAATGCATCAGCTTTCATTTATGATACAAAATGCATCAGAATTCTTATCTCTTTAATGTAGGACCATCATGGCAGTCCTTATTTCTGACTATTAGTATCAAAGGATCTTAACTTCTAAGGTGTTGACAAATTTTCCATTATTAATTTCGTAGTTGTAATAAATAATGAGAAACGAGAGATACGACCTAATTACACCTAGAGTGGGGTGATTAGGTGTAAATGCGAAATTATACTAATGAAAGTAACAAGTCACTTTTAATTAGTTCTAGATGATTAATCAACAAAGTCAATTTAGTCATATGTTGAATTACTGCAGTTTGTATAATAAACAATAAATATGAAAGCAGTAAATAAAGAACACTAATATGATGACGGAGAAACCCAATTGGGTAAAACTCCGGGACCAAGCCAGTTACCTCCACTATAGACAATATGGATTACAGTATGTTTTCAGTTAGCAAACTTCACTTGTTCCCACTGTTGTAATTCCTGCAATCTCCAAGATCTGCTGTTCCTTCCAGACTCACGACCTGCTATTGTAGATACTATCTAGCCATCTTGCTAGACTTCTCGATCTACCACATGTAGCTTCCTGATATGCTGTACTTTCTAGTCTCACGATCTGCTACCATAGACAATAGCTAGCTAACATAGACAATATCTAGCTAACCTGCTAGACTTCCCGTTCTACCTCCTGTAGCCTCCTGATATGCTGTCTCCTTCAAGCTTCTTGATCTTCTTCTATTGTCTCTTCCAAGTGGAATTTCAAGAATCTCGAATTCTTGTGCTCTTCCTGTGCTGGTCGTCCACCTCTTCCAAATCTCAATGAAAGAATCAGTTCCTTTTGAATTCTGCAGAAGAGGGTGAAGATACTTGTATGTTAATGTTTACATTTAGGGTGTGTTTGTCTCCCATTATTGGGAGAAAAATAGAGTAATGAATAGTATTTTTTGGAGAATGTGTGGTTGAAAAGTAAAGTAACTTTATTGGTTTGTGTGTAGAATATTTTATTGGGTGAATGTGTGGTGAAGAATCTTACTGTGGCAAACAATTTTTTGGAATAATGGTAGACAAACAGGGGCTAAGGACGCTAGGTGTGTTGGATTATGGAACCTTTGATGTTTTCCAAAACCGGGTTGCTGGATCTCAAGAATGAATATGGATAAATCAGTGAATTGTCTCTTGGATCTCTCAAA